TGAACCTAGGGAGTTAAGTCCAGTGTTCCAATATGGGTCTCTGTCTCTATCACCATCCATCGCCAGATGAAGGATCTATGGTGATAAGCAAAATATTCATCAGTATGGTTATGGGCCAAGGCCGGTTCAGGCACCCTCTCCTCTGTCCAGAGAACAATCTGGGGATCTCTCCTTGGACCTGGGATCCCATATATAATCAAGTCTCCTGTAAACCCTAAAATGACTCCCTTAGTTGAAATATATTCTTCCCTGATCCCATATTCATCCTTCCTCCCTCCCCCCATCCCAGTCCACCGAGCTTTCCCCATTCCTCCCCTACTCCCTTCTCTCTAACCCTCTCCCTTTCCAACAACCCTCCCACCTCCCCCCCATGCACCCGAGGTTACCTGGGACTCTTGTCTATTTCCTATCTCCTGGCGGATAGCTAAATAATCTTCATCAGGTTCACCTTCTTATTTAGCTTCTCTAGGATCACAAATAATCGGCTCAAAGACCTTTAATTATGGTTAGAATCCACTTATGAGTGAATACATACCGTGTTCCTCTTTTTGGGTCTGACTTACCTCACTCAGTAAAGCGTTTTCTATTTCCATCCATTTGCATGCAAAATTCAAGATGTCATTGTTTTTTACCGCTGAGTAAAACTCTAATGTGTATATGTTCCACACCTTTTTTAACCATTCTTCTATTGAGGGGCACCTAGGTTGTTTCCAGATTCTGGCTATTACAAATAGTGCTGCTATGAACATAGTTGAACAAATGCTTTTGTAGTATGTTAGGGAATCTCTTGGGTATATTCCCAAGAGTGGAATTGCTGGGTCCTGAGGGAGGTTGACTCCCAGTTTCCTGAGAAACCGCCACACTGATTTCCACAGTGGCTGCACAAGTTTGCATTCCCACCAACAATGGATGAGTGTTCCCCTCATTCCACATCCTCTCCAGCATAGGCTATCATTGGTGTTTTTGAGTTTGGCTATTCTGACAGGTGTAAGATGATATTTCAAAGTTGTTTTGATTTGCATTTCCCTGATCGCTAAGGAGGTTGAGCATGACCTTAAGTGCCTTTTGGCCATTCGAAGTTCATCTGTTGTGAATTCTCTGTTCAGATCAGTACCCCATTTTTTAATTGGGTTAATTAGAGTTTTAGTGTCTAGTTTCTTGAGTTCTTTGTATATTTTGGAGATCAGACCTTTGTCTGATGAGGGGTTTGTGAAGATCTTCTCCCAGTCGGAAGGTAGCCTTTTTGTCTTACTGACAGTGTCCTTTGCTTTACAGAAGCTTCTCAGTTTCAGTAGGTCCCATTTATTCATTGTTTCTCTTATTGTCTGCACTCCTGGGGTTCTGCTTAGGAAGTGGTCTCCTATGCCTATATCTTGTAGACTACTTCCCACTTTCTCTTCTATCAGGTTCAAAGTGGTCGGATTAATGTTGATGTCTTTAATTCATTTGGACCTGAGTTTTGTGCATGGTGATAGATATAGATCTATTTTCATTCTTCTACAGGTTGACATCCAGTTATGCCAGCACTATTTGTTAAAGATGCTATCCTTCTTCCATTGTATACCTTTAGCTCCCTTGTCAAAAATCAAGTGTTCATAAGTTTGTGGGTTAATACCCGGGTCTTCTATTCGATTCCATAGGTCGACTTCTCTGTTGTTATGCCAATACCAAGCTGTTTTCAACACTGTTGCTCTGTAATAGAGTTTGAAGTCAGGGATGGTAATGCCTCCAGAAGTTCCTTTATTGTATAGGATTGTTTTGGCTATCCTGGGTGTTTTGTTTTTCCGTATAAACTTGATTATTGTTCTCTCAAGGTCTGTGAAGAAGTTTGGTGGGATTTTGATGGGAATTGCATTGAATCTATAGATTGCTTTTGGTAGAATTTCCATTTTTACTATGTTGATTCTCCCAATCCAAGAGCAGGGGAGGTCTTTCCATTTTCTGGTATCCTCCTCAGTTTCTTTCTTCAAGGATTTAAAGTTCTTGTCAAATAGGTCTTTCACTTCCTTGGTTAAAGTTACCCCAAGATATTTTATGCTATTTGTGGCTATCATGAAAGGTGATGTTTCTCTGATTTCCCTCTCTGCTTCTTTGTCCTTTGTGTATAGGAGGGCAACCGATTTTTTGGAGTTGATTTTGTATCCTGCCACATTACTAAAGGTGTTTATCAACTGTAGGAGTTCTTTGGTAGAGTTTTTGGGGTCGCTTATGTACCCTATCATATCGTCTGCAAATAACGAAAGTTTAACTTCATCCTTTCCAATTCTAGTCCCCTTGATCCCCTTATGTTGTCTTATTGCTATTGCTAGAACTTCAAGCACTATATTGAAGAGGTATGGAGAGAGTGGACAGCCTTGTCGTGTTCCTGATTTTAGTGGAATGGCTTTGAGTTTCTCTCCGTTCAATTTGATGTTAGCTGTCGGCTTGCTATATATTGCTTTTATTATATTTAGGTATGATCCTCGTAAACCCAATCTCTCCAACACCCTTATCATAAAGGGGTGTTGAATTTTGTCAAATGCTTTTTCAGCATCCAATGAAATGATCATATGGTTTTTTTCTTTCAGTTTATTTATATGATGGATTACATTGATAGATTTGCGTATGTTGAACCAACCCTGCATCTCTGGAATGAAGCCCACTTGATCATAATGGATAATTTTTCTAATGTATTCTTGGATTCGGTTTGCCAGTATTTTATTGAGTATTTTTGCGTCAATGTTCATGAGTGAGATTGGTCTGTAATTCTCTTTCTTGGTTGTGTCTTTGTGTGGTTTTGGTATCAGAGTAACTGTAGCTTCATAAAAGGAGTTTGGCAATGATTCTTCTGTTTCTATATTGTGAAATAGGGCCAATCAGTTTATAACCTAATGTAGACTCTGTGTGATTTTCTTTGGGGCTTGCTGGCTGTGGAGTATCAGGTGGGACAGAAACCCCAACAAGCAGCCCCCCTCCATGTTATACTGCACAGCTGAACTGCTGGTGATAGCTGCAGAGTTGCAATTGCCAGTTGGGACAGCAGTTGTCATAGGTACAGCCATTGAGCTGAATGCAAAACAACACAATTCCAAATTGAAATAGACTAAAACCTCAGTAACTTATCATTGCTGATTACCCCAGAAACAATCACAATGGCAGGCAGGGGGGTATAGGCACAGAAGAAGGAACACTGTACTCAGAGGTGGTGGATACCTGTGGTGTGTGGGGACACTAATTTAGGTTACACACCACACCCTACTGTAACTTTACCCTGATTTCCAATATGTGATCTTCCTAATTCTGTGACCCTTTAATATAGCTCCTCATGTTGTGGTGACCTCCAACCAAAAAAGTATTTTGTTGCTACTTCATAACTATAGTTTGGTACTATTATGAATTGTAATATAAATATCTGATATGCAATCTGATGTGTCATGCCATGACCATGGAAATTTTTTTTTTGAGACAGGGTTTCTCAGTGTAGCCTTGGCACTCCTAGAACTCACTCTGTAGACCAGGCTGGCCTCAGTCTCACAGAGATTTGCCTGCTTCTGCCTCTTGAGTGCTGGGATTAAAGGCGTATACTACCGCTGCCCACCACCTTTTCTTATAAAGGAAAGCATTTATTTGGCGCTTGCTTACAGTTTCAGAGGTGGTATAGAAAGTCCTTCTGTCTATGTGTTGCTTTTATTGGTTAATGAATAAAGAATCTGCATTGGGTCTGCACAGGACAGATTAGTGTTAGGTGGGGAAAACTAAACTGAATGCTGGGAGAAAGAAGGTGGAGTTGGGAGAAGCCATGTAGCCCCACTAGTAAGCCATGTGGCAATACACAGATTAATAGAAATGGGTTAAATTAAGATGTAAGAGCTAGCCAATAAGAAGCTAGAGCTAATAGGCCAATCAGTGATTTAATTAATACAGTTTCTGTGTGGTTATTTCGGGGCTGAGCAGCCGGGAACAAACAAGCAGCCTCTGACAACACAGAGGTTTAGTCCACTGTCATATTGGCAGGGAGCATAGCAGCAAGCAGGCAGACATGTTGCTGGAGAAGTAGCTAAGAGTTCTACATCTGGGGTCACAGACTGCAGGAAGAGAGAGACTCTGGGCATGTCTTGGATTTAAAACTTCAAAGGTCACCCCCCAGTGACACACTTCCTTCAACAAGATCATACCTCCCAATCCTTCCCAAACAGTTCCACTAACTAGGACCCAAACATTTTAATATATGAACCTCTGAGAGTCATTTAAACCACCATAAACTCATTTGTTAGTTTGGTCTACTTTATTAAAAAGACCTGTTTCCTTTATACATACCTATATTGTCATTCTGTTTCATGTGTATCCAATTGTAAACACCACATTTTTATAAAGCAAAAAATAATTCATAAGACATTTTGATACTTTGATTCCAACTACATTGTCATATAATTGTATGTTATGTGCATTTAGAACAGGTATTCTCAACATGTGAGTTGTAATCCCTTTGGGAGTCACATACCAGATATCCTGCATATTGGATATTTACATTATGATTTATAACAGTACCAAAATGACAGTTATGAAGTAGCAACAAAATACTTTTGTGGTTGGAGGTCACCACAACATAAGGAGCTGTATTAATGGGTCACAGCAGAAGGAAGGTTGAGAACCACTGAAATGGAAGATAATGTATTGGAAAGCAGGATAAAGCTGCAGTGGGGTGTGGTGTGTAACCTGAATTAGGGTCCCCATACATACCACAGGTCTCTACCACCTCCAGTGGTAGAGAGTCCAGTGTTCTTCCTTCTGTGCTTATACCTCCCTGCCTGGCGTTGTCATGGTTTCCAGGGTAATCAGCAATGACAGTTACTGAGACTTTAATCTATTTCAACTTGGAATTGAGATTCTTTAAGTCAAATGAGCTTCAACCTACTTAAATGCGTTTTTGGTTTGTTGTTGTACTTTTAACAAGTGCTATGGAAGGCTAAAACAAAGAGGGTATGTAAACTAATAAGACACAGTGAACAAAGACAAATCCAAACGTTCAAAAGTGTCCTTCAATTCTTCTTTTTTTGTAGGGTATCTTTTTCTATGTACATAATTTTCATACTTCTCTATTAGGCCAAGTCTGTATTATTTCCATCAGACTTGAGCTGTAGGATATTTAATGGGTATAGAACTCAGAAAGACCTCACTGTAGCTAAATTTAGGTTATTCTTTCGGGTCCTATGCTATGTGTTTTAATAGTTCTATTTAGTCATATTTGGATCTTTCATAGTAATGGCCATGGATAGTATTAATCAATGTAATTTTAGAATTACCTAAAATTTCTATTTCTAGCCAATGTTGTCCTATGTCACCAGAACTAGAGTGATTTGAACATTAGGTTGTCTTTCATTCCTGTAAGTTAATGGATATATTAATGAGCAACAAAATGGTGCGAAACATATGAACCCCCCAAATCTGAGTGTAGTCCGGAAAGGTACTCAAAACATCTAATTGCACTTTGAAAGTTATCTGAGCCAGGTGGTGGTGGCGCATGCCTTTAATCCCAGCACTCGGGAGGCAGAGGCAGGCAGATCTCTGTGAGTTTGAGGCCAGCCTGGTCTACAAGAACTAGTTCCAGGATAGGCTCCAAAGCTACAGAGAAACTCTGTCTTGAAAAACAAAACCAAACAAACAAAAAGAAAAGAAAAGTTATGTGAGAGTCTTTTCAAAGCCTGTTTTGTTACTAATGCAGAGAGGTTTATTCTAAGACAGTGTTTCTGGCTACCTTAGGTTGGCATAACAAAAATAGATTTTGGTTTCTGTGAGTCTAACTTGGTTTTTTGCCCCCATTTGTCTGACAGGCAGAGTTTTCCTCCAAAGCAAGTCTGGCTTTAGAAGGTAGTTTGGGGTTTAAACAGACACTTCGGGAGCCACCACCAGGACATTTCCGTAGCCTGTCAGGTTCTGGAACACGTCACAGTCTACTTCTACAGTGAGTCTCTGGAGCCCCAGATGCGTCGGTGTGAACTGGAACTGAGTACACAGGGAGCTCCCTGGCCACACGGAACCCAGTCTGAAGGAAAAGTAGAGAAAGGTGTTAACTCTTTTCCAGGGTCATGGCTCCGCTGGCCTCCATGAGCTGTCCTTCCTGACTTGAAGATACGGGGCGTGAGAATAAGGAAATCTCAGTACATCGCTGGGGAGCCGGAAGTGATCATAAGCGATAGAGGGCAGGAGCTTCTCTAGACAGAGCGACTGCCTGCCTCAAGACGGAAGTGTGCTGAGGCCAGTCATTTGCATCGGCTGCTCCTTTCTGTGTCTGTGATTTAGTCTGGCTCACTTTTTGGTCATAACGCTGGCAGTGTGTTTGCCAAAGCTGTAGCTTTAAGTGTCTTCCTGGCATAGTGAGAGGCTGCCAATGTGTCAGCAAGCTGGTGCCCGACCTTCCTGGTCTACTGCGGGCCTTTCAGTAACTAAGGGAATGTTTGAGATTTTTATTTTTATTTTCATTTTTTTTTTTGAGAAACTTTGCTTCACAACTGGTCTGAAAGATCATAAAGTCTAGTTAAACTTTGATGGGTCCTCCTCTCATTCTAGTGGCAAGAATGACTGAGTTTCATGATGCTGTACCAGTGACCAGGGAACCTCAGCATTGCCTTTAAATCATGTGCAGCTACGGGTGCAGTAGGCAAAATGAGAGAGGATGCTTGCCATGCCTAAAGCAACCTAAAGGGATCCAGAATATCCAGGAACTCCTAAAAACAGTGACAGTGGTGGCAGAACCACAGAATAAAAGTAGGCCAAGACAGTGACAGATTAAGAAACAGAATAAAGAGAGTGGTGACTTCAGGGTAAGATCTCACTCAGCTAAGCTTCCATCTTGTGAAAAGGAACTAAAGAAAAGCTTAGAGTTGGGTGTTAGTGGAACACATCTTTAATCCCAGCTGGGGAAAGGCTGGCGATCTCTTGAATTTGAGTCCAGCCTGGTCTACAGAGCAAGTTCAAGGACAGCCAAGCTTAGGCAGTGAAAGACAGAAAGCTGGTGAAGATATAATTGAATAAGAGGGTCGTGTTCCAGCCCCAGCAAGTAGCAGAACTCGGCAGCTTTAGTCACATGGTTCTGGCTTTAGAGTCAAGGATACAGGAAAGGGGTTGTGGAATCTTTCTCCACAACTAAGGAATGTTACTGAGGCAGGGTGTCCCTGCATGGGGGACTAGAGTGGTCATTGCATGAAACTGTGAAGTTGAAACCTGGATTGCTTTGGAGATCCCAAGATGTTGGAGATGCCAGAGTCATAATACCTACCAAGGAGAGCTGCTAACAGAATGGAACCAGCCCAAGAGAAAGAAGTGTATTGCTGTCAACAAAGCTGAACAGAATTGGAGATGTGAAGAGAGCGCTGACATCAGACATCAGCTGCAGAGTTTGGAGTTTGCCCGGCTGGTTTTCAGTCTTGTTTTGGTTCACTATTTCCTCCATATGCTTGCTTCCCTATGTCTTGGAATGGCAATATATATCCTGTGCCATTATATGTTGGAAGTATGGGATCTGTTTTTTTGATTTTGATTTTGTAGGTGATTACATTTAAGAGATTGCATGACTCTCAGAAGAGACTTTGAGCTTTGAACTTTTAAACATTATTAAGACTAATAGACTATGGGGACTTTTGCACTAAATGCATTTTGTATTATGATATTTTCCAAAGTTATAGGGGCCAGAGAGTGAAATGTGGTGGTTTGGATGTAACTGGCTCCCATAATCTCATAGGGTAGGGTATTACTCGGAGGCCTCATTGAAGTAGGTGTGGCCTTGTTTGAGGAAGTGTGTCACTGTGGGAGTGAGCTTTGAGGTCACTTCCTTTTGCCTACATAAGATGTAGAACTCTCAGTTGCTGCTTTAGCACCATATCTTCTTGAGCACCACCATATCCCACCATGATGATAATGGACTAAACCTCTGAAACTGTAAGACACCCCAATTAAATGTTTTTCTTTAGAAGAGTTGCTACGGTCATGGTGTCTCTTTGCAGCAATAGAAACCCTAATTAAGAGAGACAGAGGTATTCGTTGCCTATCATCGTGAAGCAGGAGGAAGTAGATGCGCACAATGGAGCATTATGTAGCTGAAGAAATAGACTTTACAAATAGATGAGAAGAACAATTAGACATAACAGCTATATAAGTTAATGAAGCAACAGTAGACATTGTCCATTGCTAAAGATCTATACACAAAAGGACATGGAGGGTGGTGAAAGAAATAGAAATGTAAGGAATTAAATCAAATTGTATGTTGTGGTGGAGATTAGTAGAGTACAGTTCTTTTTATACTTAGAGACAGTATGTCCTATCTGTGTGCTCTCTGGTACCAGATATATCCTTCCTTCTTCACCAGTAATACCCAGGCTCTCTCTGAATATCAGGACAGGTAAGGTGGGGGTTATGTGGTGCCCTCACAATCTCCAACATCCCTTCATTCTGTTGATTTGGTGGTTCCAGAATGAGATAGGCCATTTGGTGGCTTTAATTCAACTTCTGGGGATATGCTCTGTCTTCAGAGATATGGCAAATGATAGATTATTGTTTTTAAGTTAGTGAGTTCAAATGAGTTGAGATCTTTCAGTGGGATAAGAAGCTTACTGTTGTGGAATCTTCGTACACTGTATGAAGACATATTGCTGTGATTGGTTTAGAAAAGAGTTGAATAACCAATAGTTAGGCAAGAGGTATAGGTGGGACTTCTGGGCAGAGATAGGAAGTAGGAGGAGATAATTGAAGCACAGGAGAGATGCCAATGAGACATGGAGGGAGTTGGACATACCGAATGAAAGAAAGGTTAAAAGCCATATGGTAAAATGCAGATGAATAAAAGTAGGTTATTTAAATAATAAGAGCTAGTGAGACAAGTCTAAGCTAATTAATTAATTAGCTTGTACAATGAATAAGAAGTCTTGGTGTTGGTGTTGTTATTTGGGACCTGGCTGGCAGGACAGAGAAAAACTGACTACAGCTTACAATCTCTTACCCATATCGCTTCTCTCTATGAATGAGTCCCCTTCCGAGGATGGAGATGATGCAGTTCTGCATGGGACAGTCTAAGGAGTTCTTCATACTGACTGTGACTGTGAGAGGCCGGTACTGTTCTGCTCGCTCAGGCATCTGTAGGAAGACACAACATGTAGAGAAAGGCCACGGATGCAGAGCCACAGGCATGCCTTCCTCTGCTGTGCATGCCCTCAAACCCCTCTCGTCTCTGCCACCCTGAGCCAGACTGCTCAGGAGGCTTCTTTGCCTTCCCCCCTCTTTCTGCAAGTACACTCTCCATTGCCACATCACACATGGCTTCTGCAGCTCCTCTCTTTGTTTCAGAGTCTTGGAGACATTTGCATTGTCTTTGGAAGTCAGCTTAGACTGATTCCTGTAGTGTCTACCCCCTATCTACCTCTCCAACCTCATCCATCCCTGACTAAATGACACACCTAGGACTCCTTTCATTTATGCTTCTTTGACCAGTCTTCAGTCTTTAATGGCCTTCCCCAAATGTACAACTAAAAAGTGAAACCATTTTTCAAGATTCAGCATGAGTGTTATTTCCTTCATGAAGCTGTGCCCAAACCCAACAGTTGAAATCAAGTGTTTTCTTCCTACACTTACACAGAAAACAAATGCTGTATCTACTTTATCTAATTAGAGCTTCTTGAAAGTGAAGACCAGGTCTTACTCACTACAGCCTTGGTAGCCTTGTAAAAAGGAGGGCGGTAACATTTTAGGACTGTACTTTATGATATCAGGTATGCTGCTCTCTAGGAATCCATTATCTGAGTCACAAATACAGTTTCACCTCATGAACATTGTGTTGAGATAAAGGGCACAAGGCAAAGCTTCCATTGTCCTGCCAACACTGTTAAAACAGTGCGGGGATTCATGGCTGTCAAGGTGTTAAGAATAAGTGACGGTTGAATGCTTAGCCCTACGCAGTACATTTATACCACCTGCTCTAAGGTTCAAAGGACCTTACAGAAGAGGGGATGGAAGGAATGTGAGAGCTGAAAGATAAGGAAATTGGCTGGGAAGTGCTATCTTCAGGACACGAGACAGCCATGTCAGACATGATGGATGTCACAGCAGCAGCAGTTACCTGTGTTGAAATTGCACAAGACTGGACTTGCCATCAGCCAATCATGGAGCCAGAAGAGGCTCATCAGACACTACCTAGCCTGCTGAACTACTGGCTACTGATAGATTCTGCAGAAGGTACAGTCATTGCTTCCAGTTGTCTACCTACTGGTGAGCCCATCAGGCACCAATGGACAGTTTGAAATGCATGGCCAAATAAATGGTCCTGGTTATAAATCAAAGGGTCACAATACAAAAGAGTGAGGCTGTGATGGGCCCACCCCTAGCGACACACCTTCTCTAACAAGGTCACGCCTCCTAATCCTTTCCCTAACTTCTCCACCCAACAGCCTGGCAGGGCAGCAGCTAAGAGTAATTGAGTGAAGGAGGAGGGCCCACCTTGATGATAAGATTCGGTCTACCAATGGCTACGTCTTCCTGAGCAAAGCAGCTGAGGCTGGCGTGAGAGTGTGTTGCCATGGCTGTGACTCTGATGAAGCAGTTTTCCGGTGGGTCTTGCTCAAAATTGGAGAAGGACAGGTTGGTGGATATTTTCAGCACTGCAACATACAACAGGCAAGTCAGTACAAAGCACGGAGTGCATGCATGCCAGAATCAGATCATAGCTCCTCTCATGACAGAGGACTTAAGGTCTCACTGAGGTCAGAACGATGCTGCCTTCCCTACACTTATCCAAGATCCCTGTCCCATACCTGTCTCTGCCAACGCTCCCAGAAGACTGCCTGCCTCACTGGGGTCGTATAAAAGCCCCTGCGAACTAAAACGAGCCATGGCATCGTGCCTAAAAATGGTGGGGTGACTTGTGTTATGGGATACTCTTCGAGCGAAGTGCTCATCTCAAAACTCACCATGCAGCAGTTGCTGAATACATGCTTACACGGTTCCCGCCCCTTCTCCCCTTTTCCTGCCTTTTTCATAGAAACGTTAACAAGTGGGACTCTCTCAAGCTCTAGTTCCTGTTCTCAACCTGCAGGCAGACCCCCCTCCCGGGGTGTGCTATCCCCTTGTCCACCATGAGTCCTATGCTTTTTAAAGATGTGTTCCACCATCATCCCCTGCCTGTGAGCTGTGTAACCTCAGGCAAATTATTTAACCTCTCAGTGTCTCCGTTTCCTCTGCTAAGAATGATACTTGCCTCATAAAGTTGTGAGAATAATGAGATTAAGCATATAATGCATTCATCACCATTTCTGGCAAATATTAAGTGCTCAGTAAATGTTGAGTTATAGTTATTCCGATTGGTTGTTTGCCCAGAGACTATGCTGTCATCTTTAGCGCCTCTCCCAATGTTTCAGCTTTTATGCTGATTATTTACCTCAGTATCTGAGCAGATTCATCTTCAAAACAAACCAAAGTATCACCCCGCCCTCTCTCTACCATCTGTCCCTGGTGACTCTCCACTTAGCCTCTCCTTTCCCCATCATGCTTTAGGAAGAACTGCACCGTGTCACTTCTGAGTTCAATTAATCTGAACCCCTGGAAGCCAGCCTTTGTCATTGCCTCTCAGCCAGGTCATTTTCCCAGCCCATGGTCTTCAACCTGGACATCTCATGACCTCTCTGCCAGCCTTTCTGAGTGTTCCTGCCCCCTCAGACTCTTCTGACTCCCTCATTCCACATCTCCCCCCGAAGTGTTCCACACATTACCAGGTCCTGGTATGACTGCGGCTCTATCCTTACCCTCACCTCTTACAGGCTGTCCTCCAGCCCTGGGTTTTGGAGCACTCCCTCTGTCCTGGGATTTCTATGCCTGCTCTCCAAAATGCACTAAATCTTGAACTCTGTGTTTAAGTTCTCTACTGCCCACTGGCTGTCTGAGTACTTGGATGTCTCGTGGGCTTTTAACAAAGAATGTGATAACTTGATTCATCTTTCTCCCAAGAGTTGCATTTCTCCTCTCCTGGTGACTCACCCCAAGCACAGGCAGACATCCACATTCTCAAGTCCCATTTCTCCTACCCACTTGGTGTCTTATTTCTGAGTGCTGACAGGTTAGCCTGGCTTTAGTTTCTGGATTTCAACTGCTACTAAGCCTCCCCCGCACCCCACTTTAACCTACTGGTTCTCTATATTGGTTGCGTGTAAGAATCCTTTGTAATACAGTCCCAAGCCCAGGCCACACCCCAAGGCAATTAGCTCAGAGGCTGGCAACAAGGCTCAGCCTTGGGATTATTCCCCAAGTGCAGCCAAGATTATGAAAAAACTGCTCGACTGTGACTCCTTCTTTCTATGTTGCCAAAAGGTCTTTCTTTTTAAAATGGGTTTCTGATTACATTGACACCATGATGAAAATTTTTTACTAGCTCCCCATTTCCTAGACAAGAAAACTCAGGCTCCTGAGTGTGATGCACAAGACTGTTCACAATCCGAGGCATGGCTAGCTCTCATGCTAACTCATGTTAGGCTTAGTCAAGGCACAGTGTTGGGAAGACTGGAGACCCAGGACAGGCAGAAGGCTGCTGCAGTCCTGCAGATGAGCTCTCTCCTTGCTCCTGAAGCTTACCTGTGTAGAGAGATTGCTTCAGGAGTTGTTGGTTGGTCGGTTGGTTTTTTTGAGACAGGGTTTTTCTGTGTAATAGCCCTAACTGTCCTGGAACTAGCTCTTGTAGACCAGACTGACTTCGAACTCACAGAGGTCTGCCTGCCTCTGCCTCCTGAGTGCTGGGATTAAAGGCGTGCGCCATCACTGCCCAGCTCTTCAGGAGTTTTGTAAATCCTGATTGTGTCTACTATGAAGTTATTATTTTTCCCTAATTGCCTGGGGTGTAACGCAGGCATAGAGCTTCCCCAGGTGACTCCAGTGTGTGACCAAATTTAAGAATGACTTCAGGGAATCTTAGCCCTAAAATACATAGCACTTCTGAAAAATCCCTGTACTGACCTCATTCCCGGCCAATTAGACAAGTATCTAAGGAAGAAAAGGAGCCCTTGTACGTCTTCTCTCTGTCTGGAATGCCTAGTGTGTTTTTCTGTCCGGCTTGTCCGTCATTCTTCAAAAGAGCCTGCTATGAATCATCTGGGAAGAAACTGCTCCAGCCTGGGTGAGCGCTTTCCTGTCCTGAGTTCTGCTGGCCTCCTCAAATCTCCCTGCTGTGGATGGGTTGGTTTACTTATCTGATTGGAACTGTGGTCCCCTCGCCTTTGTCAGGCCAAATGACAATTACAAATGTGTTGAATGAATGAATGAATGAATGAATGAGAGAGTATGAGTACCAGCGGGCTAAAAGTCATCTCTAGAGACCTGTGGGTGGAGCCCAAGATAAAACCAGGGGTGTGCAGGAGTCAGTGAGCGTTACCTTGGTTGGTTCTAAGCCTGAAGGACTGCTTCTGCCTCCAGAGATCAGCAGCAAAGATTCCATTGTAGTACACAGCCTGAGCCCTAATCACCAGGTGAACCTCCTTCTCCTGGTCGGTGGGGTTAATCAGGGTAACTGAGACTTGGCCATTCCCTCTCAAAGGGAGAGAGCTAGGTGTGTCCAAGAACAGGTACAGAGGGTCAGCAGGCTCAGGACTCGGAGGACGCATGCCTTTGTCTTTCCAGCGTTTCCTTCTTTCTTTCTGGACTCTTTCCAGGACCTCTTTCTCTTCAGGGGACCCTGAAGAATAGAAGAGATGAAACAGATCTCTAACCCAGCAGGTACAGATCTTTCAGGTAAACGTATAGGATTAAAATTTATGTACCTCTCCCGCCCAGATACCAAGATCCTAAATGACTGCAAATGTCTCGGGCTTTGAATTTGCCTTTGCATAAGGAAAACAAATCTTTTGACAAGTCAGTGCTGTCTCTGGAGATATTTTTTTTGCAAGAAATTGACTCTTCATGTGTGAAGGGACGTGAGGACTTAAGGGACTTAAGGGACTTAAGGGCAAAGGAGCCATGGGATAGTCTTGAGTCCTCACTCAAGGACAAGACATTCATGTCTTAGAACGTTCATTCTCAGAACTGACATAGAAAAGGGACCTGTGATGGAGAGACCAGAGCCAGGGAGCTGCCATCCTATAGGCAAGGGGTCATGGGAAAGAGTGCCGAAGACAGAGCCAGGCAAGGACAGTGTTGTGAAGGGGAAGGCTCCAGGGAGTTACAGGCCTCCAGATTTGGACTGACAGACAAAAATGCTAATAGAGAGAAAGAGTTGGGGATCTTGGAAGGGAGGAAGAGAGGAGTAACATCCTCTCGCTCTGTCCTGAAAGTTCTTCTTAGACAGGGATTAGCTTAGTTTAGTGCTTTGTTTCATAACAACAGTCTCTACTGGGGGTAATTTTGATTCCCCTCCCCAGAGGACATTTGAAAATAAATGAAGACAATTTTGGTTATCAGGACTGGCTGGGGTTAGGGACTAATATCTCAAGAACAGAAGCCAAAAACACTAGTTCTTCCAACACCTCAGCCTCCTACAGTGCAGAATCAACTGATCCAAACTGGCAGTTGCATCAGAGAGGGCTGAAAAACCTCCTTTTATTTGATAGACTCTTTCTGGCCTGCATCTGTCTGGTCCGGTCCCTTCCCCTCATTGGTTATCTTAGGTGAGTAGGCCCCTTCCCTTTGCTGGTCAGTACCTTCAGGATACTTGTAGTTCTGGGTGATGTCTTCGCAGCGGTCACTGCCCACGACCTTGGTACTGATGCTATCGCCCACATTCTTTCTGCTGGACTGGGTCAGTTCCAGGGTCCCATCTTCACAACATTTCCAGACCACACACCTAGCATTGACCGCAGCAAAAAGATCTAATACTGCTGGATCCAGCTGCAGTTCCCCCTCCTTGACTGCCCTGACTGGGACCAGACTGCAGGATCCTAGGGCTGAGGGAGAGAAAGACAGATGAGCAGAAGAACCATTTAGACCGCTGCTCCATTTAGAGTTCATTGTGTTGGTCCTTTTCCCAGACATTATTTTTCCTTCTCCAGGATCAAGGTCAGAGGTAGGAAGTAGACAGGCTTTCCGAGAAAGTATCAAAGAGAAAATACTCTTAGGTCCTAACCCATACCAGCAACTGCCCAGGAAGCATCTCAGGGGAACGTAATTGATGCACAGCCATAATACTAATTGGCTGCGAGCAGGCTACCTTCTTGATTGCTTTCTACATGCCAGGCGCTGACCATTTTGTTCCAGGGCAAGGGGGCGCCATTCTTTTTTTGCTTGAAGTTTCCCTCTCTGGGCTTGTTCTTACTGTGTGGCCCCTTTCAACCATACACAGACAAGTCTCACCCTGCCAGGCCCCACTTCAGAATACCCATAGCTATCTTAAGACACTTTCTCTTCATTGAGATGGTATTCCTTGCCCTTGGCTTGGTGTGGGCCTTGTGATCATGCCGTCTGTGATGGGGTAGTGGACATTTTGACCCCCTTGAGCCTGTTGGAATCATCTGCCCATCATCATGACTTCTCTTGTTTTAGAGGATGGAGACCCTCTTTGGACCACATGCTGATCCTAGATCCTGTTCAAGGGACCTCTTTAGCTCTTGCTGCCCTGGCTCACCCTTAGGCTTTACCTCCAACTCCAATAGGAGCTCTTGGGTGCAGAATCTGCCATCCGTCATAACCGTGGGACAAATCAGGTCTGTTCATCCAGCATTCTACGGAAGTTTGGAAGATCCTAAAAGTAGCAAAGGAAAAATAAAACCTTCAAGTAGGGGGGAAAAAGGGCATATGGAAGAGAATCTAGAAATTAGGAATGTGGTTTTAGAGAGTCATTGCCATAGGGATGGGAGGGCACTGCCTAAAAAGAAATATGGTTATCCTAGAAGGGGTACACACCATCACTGACCCTCAGCATCTCCTATAAGAATCCTGAACCTATGCTCTGCTGGTAGCCCAGGGCTCTCCAAGCAAGCGGCTGCACATGGAACTTGCTTGGCACTTTGGAGCCCTTTCTGGTTCAGAACCCTTTCTCCTTTAGGCTTCTCACCAGATACGGCCCATCTGTCCTTCTCCATTCTGGAGTCCCTCCTCATTGTAGTATTCATCCACCAGCAGGCTCCCACGGGTGCCCTGGGCTGAAGGAAATGCGGTCACGACGCGTGCTGGGATTCCCAGGCAACGTAGCACTGCATGGAAGAGGCGTAAACTATCAGGGGACAAGGGGCAGGAAAGCCCAAGGCTGGACAGGATCTGCCTTAAATGTCAGGTGACATTGTGGGTCGAGGAGGAGTCTGAACCGCATGGATAAAGGCTGGTAAATGGCACACAGATGACACAGCACAGGAATATAGAGTCGGGGGATACTCAGGAGCGCCGAGGCTTGCTCTGTGAGGGACAGGTGAGGGTGTTTTGGGGGGAAAGTAAGTTTGGAGCAGAGTTTGTAAATGAGCTCCGATTTGCTGAGGGAAAAGAGAAGACACGGCTGGTGGGGAAACAGGTAGGGGAAGGCTGTGGAGAGGAGGCAGTGCCTGCTTTAGGAGCTGTCCTCCCCACATGGGAGGCCAAGGGACACCTCAAGATGCAGGCCAGACACTGCAGCAGCCCGGAAGACTGACCTGTGTGTTGCCTGCCCTGTACCTGTGCAAGCAACAGCAGCGAACACCCAGGCCTGACTCTCATACACAGGTCGTCCTTGGCCAGTGAGCCACTGCCGCAGTACGGGCACACTGCCCCGATGCTTGTACAGGAAGGTCCCTTCCTGGGCAGCGTGGGTCTGTGAAATAGGCAGGACACTCTTCTTCCTGAGAGCACGCAGCTGTTGGGGCAGATGTGTGGTTGTTAGTGGGAGTCCTGTAGCTGGACGACTTCCAGGAGCCAGCAAGGAGTGTTCATTGTCGCTTGCCAAGCATGTGACTCAGCCCCTGGGGCTTGTCAAACCAGTGTGCTGGAGAATCCAGTCTATACCTTCGCTGCTTGTGTATATAATCTCAGAGTCAGACCCAGGACTAAGTCATTCTCCAGCTTCAGCCACGGGGTGGAGCATGAGGCTGGGTCTGCTGGTCCTCAGCTTCCTCTGCCCCAATTCAATGTTGTTTCCTCTGGGTCCCGGAGGTCATTGTCTCAAGCCTCTTCCTTCACATAGAATAGACTTGACCTACATCCTGCCTTTCAGAGGGAGACTGAGAGATATGAGAGGAAATGGGGAATGTATTACTTCTCTGAGAGAATCTTATGGGTGTGGTGTACTGGATAGTTTTATGTTAACTTTAAGCTGGAGTCATCTGAGAGAAGAGAACTGCAATTAAGAAAATGTCTCCATAAAATTTGACTGTAGGGCATGGTCTTTCTTTTTTTTTTTTTAACAAAAGATTTTTATTTATTATGTATACAATGTTCTGTCTGCATGTATGCCTGTAGGCCAGAAGAGGGAGCCAGATCTCATTACAGATGGTTGTGAGCCACCACGTGGTTGCTGGAAATTGAACTCAGGACCTCTGGAAGAACAGCCAGTGCTCTTAACCATTGAGACATCTCTCCAGCCGCCCACAGCGGGTGTTCATAATCAGTGACTGATTGATGGGGGAGGGACCAGCCCATGGAGGGTGGTGCCATCCCTGGGCTGATGGTCCTGAGTTCTATAAGAAAGTAGACCATGCAAACCATGAGGAGCAAGCCTGTAAAGAGAACCCCTCCATGGCCTCTGCATCAGCTCCTGCCTCCAGGTTCCTGTTCTCTGAGTTTCTGCCTTGGCTCTCCTCTGTGGACTCAGGATATGTATGCCATAATAAACCCTTTCCTCCCCAACTTACTTAGTCATTAGTCATAATGTTTCATAACAGCAATATTAACCCTAACTAAGACATATGGGAAACACCAAGCCGCCTCTATGGTCTGCATATTCTTAGGAACACTTAGAAATAAAACAAGACCCTTGGATCACCTTAGCAGCAAGCCCTGAGAAGGACAGGGCACATCTTTCTTCCTAGGACTCTGCCTGCAGGGCAGGGCTAGGAGTGAGAGCAGTCGGACTGAAGCCAGGCCAGTTTCCCCCTCCTGGCTTTTCTCTTTGGTGAACCTATCTCTTACTCTCTTGCCTTATCCCTCTCTTCCCTGAGGCCTGTCTCCCACACTCTGGGAGAGGGGAACTGTTTGTGCGCTGAGAGCTTCCAGAGCCACAAAGGTGAGCCCCTCCATCCAAGTACTTTAGCCCCATCTCCTCTCCCTCTGGTGCCCCAGCCTCATGCTCACCAAGGTGCCCACCACACAGGCCACATGTGCAGGCTGGCTCCACTTCTCCACTTGCTTGTCCACGCTCAGCAAGTCCAGACTGAGGTCCATGACATCGCACTCAAACTATAGGGACAATGTGGAATGAGATGAAGGGTTCCCGGGCCAGGCATGATCTCACAAGACAGTTCTGTTACCTTGTTCCTTTCCTAAACCTGGGTCTTAGGTTTCACTCACCTACCTCAACACCCACTATGGTGTTCTGGTTCTCCCATCGTCTCCCTGGACCACCCAGTATGTCCCCAACACCTGCTCTTTTGTTCTATGGCCTTAATTTCCTAATAGGGTGTGATCTCATAAAGGTTGGTATTGGGCCATTTTATTTACTTATTTTTCTTGAAATAGTGTCTAACTGTGTAGACCAAACTAACTTTGAACTCACAGAAGTCTGCCTGCCTATGCCTTCTAACTGCTGGGATTTGAGGCGTGTGCCACTATCAGTACGGTGTCATTTCAATTCATTGAATTTCATTAGTTTCTACTGAGTGAAGAGCTACTATTTGTACAGGCATTGAGACAGGAAGACTCCAGGTAGCTCCCACTCTGGAGGAGCCCCTGGTTGGGATATGGCGCCTCAGGTAACATAGCAATGTAGCTTAGACTCTAGAAGAGGCAGCAAATGGCACAGTGGAACAACTCCTCTGTCTTTAAGGACTTGAAGAATCTTCCAGAAGGTTGTACGACTCCGGGGAAGTAGTATTCTACGGGGAAAGAGAAGGAAGCTAGTTCAAGCAGAGGAGTTACTCAGCCTACATGTCCTTGGAGTCAGAACATGGGGTGGCTATTGGGAAGGAAAGTGGTGGCCTTGCTGCCTGGTTGACAGGCCAGGGCATGGGTCTCTAGTCTGTGGGTAGAGGCACTTTAACAGAATGCTCTGGAGAGTGGTGTAATGTGGTCCAAAAGAAACAGAGGCACCACAAAACTGAAATGGGCTAAAGAAACGATTTTCTCTGTAGCTTTACAGCCTGTCTTGGAACTCATTCTGTAGACCAAGCTGACCTCAAACTAACAGAGATCCGCCTTCCTCTGCCTCCCAAGTGCTGAGATTAAAGGCGTGCGCCACCACCGTTCAGCAAGAAATGATTCTTGCTGAAAGACCTGCACCAGCTAGCCTTGTTCAGCCTGAGTGTTGAAGGTATGAGATAGGCAGAGTTCCTCTTATCATCTAGAGGTTTCTATTACCTGACTAAAGTCCCAGGGCTCCTCCTGAATGCAGTCAGCGGTGCCCAGGTAGATAAAGCCATTTTGGTTCAGTAAGTATTCAGTGCGTTGAGCCTCATTTTGAAGAAACACGGCATCATCTGGTAAGAAGCAGAGGTTGGCAAGAAGGAGAGGTTGAGGGCCTGAGGTGCCAGGTCTATCTATCCTCCATGTCTAGGCTTCTGCCCTCCCAGCTCAGGTTGGGTTTGGTTTTAGCCTTTTCTTGTATCTCTGGGCCCAATGAAGACTTAGGAGGGTTCTTCTCACTGCTTTCTCAGGAGCTGACCCAGACACCCTATGTCAGTCAAGGTGTGGCCAGGAACAAGACAACTCTAAAAAGCCTAGTGGTTTCCAGCAGATTATAAATGAGAGCCCTACTGGCTCAAAGGAAACCAGGAACATCCTAGGGAGCTTCCCAGTGGCCTGTTGAGTCTTTCCTAGAAGGTCAACTTGTAACAACAAAAGGTGCAACAGGGGAAAAAGCAAAATAAACAGCAGTTAAACACAGGTTAAGCAGAGTGATCACAGGGGACAGGGTGGGGAGGAGCATGGGGATCCTGTGGGGAAATGTCCTCTAGGTCCAGGGCCACCACAATCCCTTCCTAGTGCCTCTTCCAGCTCCCTTATCCAAGGGTGAGGCTGGATCAGAGAACAACTTTGGGGTGTCAATTCCAGATATCCACCTTGTTTGAGACAGGGTGTCTTCTGCACTGTGTAAGGCAGGCTAACTGACCTACAAGCTTCTGGAAATTCTCCTTTCTCTGGCTCTGGTCTTCCTATAAGCACAATGCATTGGGTTTTCCCTTGGATTCTGGGGGATGCAAATTCAAATCATCAGACTTGTTCAGCAATTGCTTTTTCTCACTGAGCCTTCGCCTCGATCCTAGATATCTTTTAGAAACCGTTGTTCTCTTTAGGAAGTTGGAGACAGCATGGGGTTCTGGGCTCATTAAAAGAACATCAAGAGAGCTACTAGGCTACGCAAACACTAAGCATTAGAGTTGTCTATGCTCTCAATTCTTTCTTTGCTTCCTGTGTGCTGGAATTAAAGGCATGTGCTGCTACACCTGGTCCACCTGATCATCTCTCAGACGAGCAGAGCCAATGGCTCTCCAATGTATAATGTCTGAGTTTACATACACGAGGATGCTCTGGTGCCTGTGTGTTCAGAGGCCAGAAGAGCACATTGGCTCTCTTAGATATATATGGCTTTACAGGCACTTGTTAGACATGTGGCTTATTATGTATGATCTGGGCCCAATCCGTCATTCTCATGATTGTGCAACAAGCACTCTTAATGACTGAGCTGCTACAGTAGAGAGCAGAAATTTGAGCTCATTTCAATGAATCCAAAATAGCCTGTGTTTGGTAGAAAGACAAGTCTTTTTATCATGAAATCTGGAGATAGCAAGACAGGACCCTAAGGAGGCACCTGCTGGAATTTAATGCTGGTGTTGCCCACAGAGCCTGGGGCAGGTGCTCCCTGTTGGAGCTATAGCCTAGCTCCGCTTCCTGTGTGAACCCTGTGCAGTTCAGTCTAGCTGAGGTCCAAGTTTACCTCTATTCCAGGGATTAAAGAGCAGAGTGAATTGGCCCAGAGGGTATTGTTTCCTGCCTAAAACCTGAAGCAGGAGTGAGTAGTGGCCAATGACAGCATCCACGGGCGTGGTCACGGAGATGGTCCAGTTCTGGGCACTTCTTTCTTCCACTGCTGCACTCCATCCTTTTCGGTCCCCCAAAGAGGAAATCGGGAATATGGCTTGAGTCTTGTTGGCCTTGGAAGGCTGCTCTCCTAAAATTGCACAGTAATAAGTTGGTCATTTGGACTTTCAGGTCACAGCTCAGGGTAATAAGTCAAGGTATTACAAAGATGGAGGAGACACCAATTAGTTTTGGAGAAGGAAAGAGGTCCTCCTATAATGAGGAACTGTAGAGGATGATGGGGGAACACAGGCTCTTGGTGCTTATAGACCTTACATCTATGCAAGGGTCACAGTTTACAAAATAGGTGTAATAATGATACTACCATCCCTCCGATCCAGGGGTATTGGTTCCAGGACCTCCAGTAATACCAAAATCCAAGGATGCCTATGTCTCTTTATATAAAATACCATAGCTTTGCATTTTCTTGTATACTTTAAATAATCTTTTGATTACTTATGAATCCTTATACAACATGAATGCTGTGTAAATAATCCCTGTGCTGTATGTTTTAAGAATTGATGATGACAAGGGAAAGACTATTTGACAATTTTTGCCCAGGTATGCCCCGTCATGGTTGGCTGATTCTGAGGAAGCAGAACCTGTGGACCTGGAGGGCCTATGAAGGGACCAAATTAGATACTTGCACGTGAAGTTCTTAATTCGATCAAGATTTCGATGATTAGCACAGACTAGATGCTGTATGTAGCCAGAGTCAGACCCCATCAGCCTTTCCTACAGTTCTTAGTGGTACTGCTGCTGAGCAGGGCAGCTTAAGGCCCAGCTACAGCATGGACCACCTGCACCTTGGTCTTCTGAGAGGCTGGTGGGGAGGGAATCCCTCCACATTCCTGAGTCGGCTCCACATACCAGTTTGTGCCACGAGAGTCACCTTCTTCAGGGCAGTCAGAAATTTGTGGACCGGGGCACGGAAGTTCAGGGTGATAATGAAGGACTGTCCCCTCCTCAAAACCAGGCGCCGGGAGCTGAGGGCTTTGGTGTGGTGCTCCTCATTGTTTTCGGCTGCCTTTAAGTCACAGCTTTTGATACTCAGAGCTGTTGTGGAAAAAAGGGAAGTCATGGATGCGAGATACATGCAACTACACGAATCAAAGGCCCCTTCCAAGAGTGGAGCTCAGATTTCCTGTCAGCCGCACAGCCTCAAGCAAGCAACTCTTCTGAACTTCAGTTGTCTTCTCAGACTAATCCTCCCTCTTTGCAGAGTTGTGGGAATGATGTTATACATGTACATACTTAAATGTTTGTATTACTTTTACATTAGCCTAATGTCAAACACTTATTAAGGCCCATTAAATGTTAACATTAGTTTCTGGTTCCAAATTCAAACAATGAATAAGATCCAGAATTTTGCACATTACTCATGTTCCCTTTTTGGAGACAGGGTCCAGTGTATCCTGGGCTGGTCTCGAACTTGCTGTGCAGCTGAGGATAGCCTTAAACCTGGGATCCTCCTGCATCCACCTTCCAAGTGCTGGGATTACAAGTGTGCTTTACACAGTGCTGGGATTGAACATGGAGTTCGTGCCTACTAGGCCAGCACTCTGCCAACTGAGCTACATTTCTAGTCCCACCTTCTTCTCCTTCTTTTTTAAGAATGCAATCTGATAATAATGGGGCTGTTATGGAGATCAGTGAATCAAATTCTCTTATCTTAAAGATGACAAGCGTGAGGCTGAGGATAGTACCAGCTCCCCTGAGATAATGTGTATTTTGACCTAGCGGCTCACCATCTCGTGCCACTTGGAAGGAGGTGGCCTCAGTTACTATGACAGACTCTCAATCTGTATTGAGAGAGCAAAAAATTAGGAACAAGGGATTTTTTATTGCTCAACAGGAGCTGGAGGGATGGCTCAGTGGTTGATACTGTACTTCCAGAGGACCTGTGTTTGATTACAATATCCACATGGCAACTTACAACTGTCTATAGCTCCACATCCAGAATGGTCAATGCCCTCTTCTGGTCTCCAGAGGTACCAGGTACACACATGGGACACATGCATACATGCAGGCAAAACACTCATACACATAAAATATAAACAAATAAAATGTTTTGAAAAATTACAAACGCTTAGCAATCCTAAAAGAAGGAACAAGACCAAAAAATTAAAGTTTAATTATTCATGTATACATGAATCTCTACTGGGAGCCGCCACAGCAAAAAAATAGCTTGTAGTGTTTGCATGGGCTCAGCCGCTGGGAGGGAGGGGCTGTGGCCTTTGCTTGCAAGTATGGACTAAGATTTGATCTGCTTCAAGGAATGATCTGATCCTGACACTCAGTCCTTTGGGCTCCAGGACATGTATTGACAAGTGCCAGAGACTTCCACCTCCGTCACCAAACTTCGTGGCTAAGGGCTCAAGAGCAGAGGGGACAGCGGGAAAAGAGCTTGTGTTCTCGACAGTTCCTGTCATAGTAATGGAGTAGATCTATGGTGATATATAATGACAATACTGAGGGAAAGAACTGGCATATTGATTCTGAAGATGTAAAACCCCCCTGCACAGCTGGTCCTGGTATCCCTGTGCCCAGGGATACCCTGGTGCCCTTTGCATTGTATCTCTCTATCACCTACTTGTGAGGTGTTCAGGTCATAGCAGTAGAGAAAAATAGCGTCAGCTAGGCTGGGATTTGTAAAGCCAGCAACAGCCACGGCCAGAAGTCAGCAATGACTCCTCTCTGCACACTGGTTCTGGGGCCCAGATTGAGCCCCATCTATGGGATGGCTGGATTGGACTGGTTGGTGGAAGGGTGAGCTGCCACGTGATTTGAGCCCAGGTACACTGGGCCTACATAATAGCCACAGAATCCTGGCAAGAGCCATCCTTCAGAATCTCTCTGAACTCTGGTTCTATCTGGAAGGCTTCCTGGCTTCTTTTTACCCGAAAGGTGCATCCCCACCTTTCAATACATAAAGGCATGGCCTCTAAAGCCTTGGCCGACTTCTCCAAGGGGAACTCGGTCTACAGCTTCCACAGTACTCTGTTTCCCTAAATAACTCGCCCCATTTTGTCGGCATCACCCACTGTTCTCTGCCCCCACCCCTGCTGGGAGCCTGCTAAGCTACTGTGCCTATTCTAGTTCTGCATCTTCCGCCTAGCAGTATGCTGAACACAGTTCCTTTCCTAGTTAATGTGCGCTCCCTTGATGGCAGGACAAGAACATAGGATCAGCCCTAAGAAGGGTTTCTCAGAGGTGCCCAGGGCTCAGGCTTCATCTATGCGGGCACTCACCGCAGAAGCCCCCAGAGTTTCTACACCTCTTAGTCTGTTTGATTGCTTCATAATTGTCTCTTCTCATTGTACTGTTCAGTGACTCCTGCCATCCCTTCTCACCTCTTAGACTTGGAGGATATGACAGCCTCAAGGTTCCCAGGCATCTTTATTTTATTTCCAATGCATGTTGGGGAAGAAAGGGCTTATTTCATCTTACAATGGGTAGCCCATCATCCTGAGAAGTCAGGACAGGAACCTGGAGGCAGGAACTGAAGCAGAAGCTGTGGAGGAGTGCTGGGTACTGGTTTGCTCAGCCTACCTTTTTATACTATTTGGGACCCACAGTGGGTTGGGCCCTCCCACATGAATCATCAACTGAGAAAATGGACCACATGCCTGCCCACCAGCCAGTCTGGTGGGGATATTTTTTCAGTTGAAGTTTCCTCTTCCAAAATGACTCTAGCCTGTGTTGAGTTTGTTTGGTCAGAAGGGTCACCTCAGCCCCTAACATCCTTATTCAAATAGGTCTGAGATGTTTGATTGGAAGTGTCACCCCAGCCCCTGACATTCATTTTGGAATGGTCGAGTGGAAAGTTCCATTTCAAGTACCCTCCCTTGGGAGTTGCTACAGTCCAGACTCCACCTCCAAGAAAGGCCACCAAAATGGAGACCCCTCCGCAGAGAGGGTCAAGACCACCCCCACAGGCTATTTAAACTGCCCCCAGAGAACCAACATGTGGTCTCTCCGGTTCTCCTTCCTGAGAGCGCTGGCATCCATTAGACCTGGGCTTTTTCTAATTCAGTTTGATTTGGTCTGATTTGGATAATTGCGTCGGCGAGAGGCTTGTCGGGCCGGAAAGGCTTTACAGAGCTGACATGAAAACTAGCCAGCTTACCAGGTGTATCTCATTTGTATCACAGCCTAGAGAGTTGTAACCATTTACATTATACTGATCTTGGGCTATGAATATAAATTCATGATAATCACCCTCACTATTCTACTATCATCATTATAATTAAAATTACCATACAACCACCCACCCCCTATTCACACCACCACCTCCTCCCTCCCTACCCCTCACACCTTACACACGCCACTCTGACCTCCATCACCAAGCCTGTTTCCTTTAATAAAAAAACGTCTTGATGACAGCCCTAACAGCCAGGAACTGGCTTAGCATACCTTGTCCCATGGCCACAGGCTACTCAGATCCACTTGCACACAGGAAATGTTGGCCTTGACCTGTTGCCTCTGGGCTCTGGGCTCTCACTCCAGATCTCTCTTCACACTGAAAAGATGGGACACTTCTGTCCTCTGTGAGCCTCCCGACAGGTTTCTTGTCTGCTACTCCCTTCTTGCTGCTATCTCCCAGACCAGCTGCTGGGAGTGACCCCTTTTCCCCCACGATCTCTCTTAGTCAGAAGGCCTTGGCAGGGTTCTAGCCAGGCTGAAATGAGAGCTTCTGGGGAAGACCCTGATTCTTCACCGACCTCAAGACCCCCTGGAGATGTCATCTGACTGACTCTAGATGCAGCCCCAAGCTGTGGGTTTGCATCCCCCTCTGAGTCTCTGGTCCTAAGAAAATTCTGAGCAGCCACTTACCACGTGAATGTCTGTAACCATCTGTTTGGAAGAGATAAGGAAATAGCGTGTTGAAAAAGAGAATGCAGAAGCCAAGGACCTGGCTCTTCCAAGATGACCTGGTCGGGAACAGCCAACCAGAAAAGGTTTAGAATGGTTTGGGCCTCAGCTCTAGCCTTTCCCTTTTCTCTTTGTTTAGTCATTAAGGATAACAACACAGAAGAGGATGGCCTGTCTGCTTCCCTGGCTTTCTGGTCCTTTGTCTGGGCTTCCCAATGTGTTCAGGGGCACACTTAGGGGCACCTGGTGTGTGAGATGCCCGTGCCTGTAGAAGGACACAGAACAGACCACATAAGCTCTGGTTCCTGTGGACTGGGAAGCCGGGGTGGGGCAGGAAGATGCTTCTGCTGTTCATACTTTTAAAACTTTTAACTGTTATCTGCTTGAAGAATATTGTGATGCAAAATAAATAAATTAAATAAAAAAGGAAGAAGAAACTGTTGCCGCCTACCCCCCAAAAATACTTTCCCCCTAAGAATTGAAGACGTTAATTTGTCATTATTTAATTTTTACCTAGAAAACACAAATCTAAAGATGATGATAAAAATTGGCTAGGATCTGGCTAGCGCCAGTATTATTGAAGCCAATGCAGTAATTTCCATACCTGTAGTCAGCAAGCAGTTGTAAACATAATTAAAGCCCTAACTTATAGTTCTTAACAACAATGAAAGATGAAATATTCAGAAATAAACCTGAGGAATCTGTAAAGGCTATGAGAGAAACTATTGAAGAACAAAAAGAAGACTTGTACAAATAAAAGTGTAGGTCACACTCTTGGATAGGAGGTCTCAGCATCTTTAAGAGGCCAGACTTCCTAGGCTGAGCTTAAGGTTAATGCAGCCCCAGCAAGAACATCAAAACAATTTTCCTTTGAAACTAGGTAAACTGACTCCAAGTTTCAAAAGGAAACTTCTAAAGCAGTAATGACCTATGATCAGGGTTCCTAGCTATTAAAACATGATAATCCTTATAACTTAGAAATGTACTCATTAAATGTACTAAATGTTGTACTTTGAATCGGTGAAGGGAAAAAGATTCATTAGCACGTGGTTTGGGGACATTAGTTTGCCATAAACTTGACTTCCTGTTGACAACTGTAGGGGCTGGGGTGGTGGCTCTGTCGTTCAGAGCACTGAATGCTCTCCCAGAGGACTCAGGTTCAATTCCCAACACACATATGGTGGCTTACAACTGCCTATAATTCTAGTCCCAGGAGATTCTATGCCCATGACTGGCCTCTGCAGGCACCAGGCATACACGCAGCACACAGACATTCATTTAGACAAAATGCCCATACACATAAAATAACAGTTAAAAACGTATTCTTTTAAAATGATTGTGTGTGTGTGTGTGTGTGTGTGTGTGTGTTCCTGAGTGTATGTAGGTATTTCACATGTATGCAAGAACCTAAGAAGGTTCTTGAGGACCTTGGATGCTCTGGAACTGGGTTATAAGTTATAAGCCACCAAGTGGGTGCTGGGAACTGAGCCTGGGTCCTCTGTAGGAGCAGTCAGTCAGTGCATTTAAGCTCTAGTCATCTCTCTGTTCCATTAAAGTTAATTCCTTTGATTCAGCTGCTCCAACTGAACAAAATGAGTTTATACAATTATAGTCAATGCATTGATACTTTAAAAAGCAAAAGATGGACAGTAACCTAAACATCCACAAGTAAAGTATAAATATACCTTAATATTTATTAATAATTAATGCTTGTTTATATTAATTAATATGGTTAACATTAATAATTAATAATCAATGATGCATGAATTTAGTAGAATACAAGTGTGAAAGAAGGTAATTGCTGTCTATAAAACAGATACGGAGCAATTTTCCAGCATTATTATTAAAAAAAATGAGTCACGGAACAATGAGCAGTTTGTGCTGCTTCTGAGTAAAGGCTGCCTGTGAGCTTGCTCGAATTTACCCAGAGCATTTCTAGAAAGTTCCGGCGTCTGAACAAGGACATTCAGTGCCCAGCAGTAAGACTTTCTTCATCCTTTTGTACCCTGTACCATGAGTATGTATTTATAAATTAATATTAAAAATAGTGAAAACTTGCAAGGGAAAAGAAGGTTTTATTAAACAACCATGTTAGCCGAGGAGTTCTACTTGGGTGGGCAATGGACAAAGTTGTGGGCTTGCTCCATTTTGGGGGGGTTTTCTCCATTTCAAACGATCAACCGAAGATCCTCTCCTCTGTCATGGCGGAATTCCCGTGAGACCTTTGCGATATCCAGCCTCTGGCAGTTTCCATGTGGGCACTCTGGAGGAGCCTGTGACAAGACAGACACTGCTGTGGTTTTGTTTAGCCAGGGACAGATGTGGAGAGGAAGGAGACTGACTCCAAGTACCAGTCATCCGGCTCCCTGCGGCACCCACACCTCCGCAGAACTCCAGCCCCTCACTGGTGTGTCCCAAAGAAGGATTTGTGTATTCAACTATGGACAAAAGTATTTTGACCACTCTTGTGCACCAGAAACTATTCTAGGCTCTGCTAATACAGTAATAAATTAGATCAATGTTTCTCTGTCTCTGAGAAGCCTTTATTCCAGCAGGGGGAGACAGATACTTCTGGGTGCCTAAAACGGCTTGAGAGTTCAATCTGCCTTTGAGATAGGTGATATAAAAGATGGCCGCTGTGCTCTCAGACCTCGGAGAGGGGCCAGGCGTGGTAGGAAACCTGAAAAGCTGGGAGGATAACTCGGCCCTGGCTAGCTGGGGTGTTATAGAAGATGGACCAGTGCATGCAGAATTGCTAATGCAGGGAATAGGCGAAAGAACACCAAGTCTAGGGTGCAGCTGAGGATTTGGGGTTCTATTCTTAGAGCAGTGGGAGGCTGTTGAGCCATATTTGAGGCAAGCATCACCAAGTCAGATTTGCATTTTAAAATATCAAACACTATCTAAAATAAATGGTTTAGAGGGCTAAGAGGGGAAGGGAGTTATCCAATCAGAGACATCTAGTGATGGTCCAGGTGAAATAACAATGTCTTTGTGAGGGAGTATTAAAGAGAGATGTGAACAGATTTGAGAAGAAAGGAAATTGACAAATCATGTTAATGGGGCTGGAAAGGGTAAATAATTCTTCCAGCATGACACCTAGGCTCATGTTAGCTGTACTGGTACATACTCTACAAGGTGCTCCCACATATATTAACTCCTATGATTTCAGCCTCCATCCTGTAAGCCAAGCAAGGGACCAGGACCAGCATCTCGATTTTGTTAGTATGGGGAGGGGGTGCACACTGTGAATGAGTGAATTAGTGAAGCAGTCGATTAATATGCTACTTCATCCCAGAATTTAAGAAGGCTAGTAATAAAGTGTGACAAGACAGAAGAGCACACATGTCATACTTTATTAGTCATGGACAAGGTTAAATCTGGCACAGTATAACCTGCTGTCCACAGGCTGCATAGCCTGCTGTCCGCAGGCTGCATAACCTACTGTCCGCAAGCTGTCTGCTGAGGCTTCCTCAGTCGCTCACAGCTTATGGTAAAACCTAGATTCGAAGTGAGGTCAAATCCCACACATTGCAGAACTCATTACCTTGCATCCAGTCTACTGCGGAGAAGACTCTCTATTCAGTCTGTTTCGAAAAATTTGCTTACTGATTTCTGCTTCTGGAATAAGCCGACGAGCTTGTTATAATTCGGTCTGTTGAGAACAACCAGCAAAGCTAAATTAAAAAGGTTGAAAACACCTGACTGAAGGCATCACACTAACAAGGATTGGCAGGGTCAAGATTTTGGGAGGACAGTGTGCACAGAAGTGGTCTTGACCCCAGCTGCATAGCATACTACTTCATTTGCTGAGTCCTAGGTGGCAGATGAGACTGTAAGAATCCAAGAGCTTCTGGCAGCCTCACAAAATTGGAGTTCCCGGCTCTCCATGGATGAAGCGTCCCAGTAAATAACTCAGACTTTTGACTGAGAAAACATAGCAAATAGGAAATAGAAACTCGTTTTGTTTTTATTATTTTTTAGATTTATTTTATTTTAATTAATTAAACTTCCTTTCAGTCTCAGTTGCAATGTTTTACCCTCATCCAAGCTGGCAGAGAATTTCTCTGTAGGAGATTAGCATCATCTAGCGCATGATGACGGAGAACAGAGAACTCGCTCACAGATTCCCCCAGATTCCCTCATGTCCCCAGCTCTCACAGATCCTGGACACCTTGCTAGTTGGGGCTCGTAGGTCCATGCTCTACTACAGTCAAAGCCAAGCCTCACCCTGGTGGAAGCAGAGGGGCTCCGCTCTCTGATATCAACACTCCACAGTCGGGTACCTTTTCTCTGTGCTTAGGGAAAAGCGGCCAGGCCCAAACTGGCACTGGGGCTTCCCAGATACTAGAAAGTGAGGCTTCAGGACTAGGCTCAGAGGAGTGAATTATTGCATGTGCGTGCTTGTCTGCTGGTCAGTGGGAAGACGGGGATAGAGAAAGGCTGGGCAGTGGGCTTTGGGAGACCAGAAATCAGAGAGCCGCAGAGCCGAGGCAACAAGATCTAGCTCTCACCACTGCCTGCCCTTCCCACATAGCCTGTCCCAGACTCTCTAGCTATTCATGAAGTGTGGGAGAATGAGGGCCTCTACTTCCCTGAACTTCAGAATGGCGCATGGCATTAGCATAGGCATCTTTGGAACCAACGATGAACTCCAAGAGCACTGGGCAGGATGGCACAGTGGGCATCTGAAGTTAGACTTGTTCGAGGGTGAACTAAAGGAGTCACCTAGCCAATCTTTGGACTTCAAGCAACCAAAACCATTTTCTGACAACGTAGCCAAAAAATGACAGAGGCTGAGGGATATCCTTGAGTGTGAGGTGAAAGGAGAATCAGAACCAGGAGAAGGCAGAAGCCGGGGCGGCCGAGGGGTCCTGGCAGCAGTGAGCAGTGATACACACTCTCCCCTCTGCTGTTG